AAGTTTTTATTCTAAGGCTCTTTCAAAATGTTTAAGCAACTGATGAAGGTCTGGCAATAGGGCTATATCTTATTTAGTTTCTCTTGGGTATTAAATCTATTTCAGGTTTAAGATTAGCCACATAAAATTAGCAGAGAGCTCACTACATCTGCATCAGGAGTTACTTCTGAATGATCTTGAAAGGTTTAAAAAGCCTGTCTCTGAATTCCCCAATGGATGAATTCTTTCTTTATATGTAGGACTGAGTCAGAGTCCAACCTATGTTCACAGGAATGATTTAGGGGATAGTTTCCAAAAGACCTTTTCCAATATATACAGATTTTCTAAATCTCTTTTATTTCTTGTATAATTTGGGGTCTCTGAATTCTACCTTTCCATCCAATTCTTTGCATCTGAACGTATGTGCTATTTGATATATTTTTGGGAGAGCTAGATTATATGTTTCTAAAACTATATCTAATTTCTCTACAAATTTTATCTTTCTAAGCTTTGGAAAAATTTTAACATTGGCTTTTAGCTCAATGAGACTAGATCTAAAAACCTAAGTGATTTTCCCTGTTCTGAGGGGAAATTAACTTTATGAGGTAATTGCACTTTGGGGGTTCTGGCCAGCCAGGAGGTAAAAGGAACAAGTCAGAAGGAAATGGAAAAAACATAGCCTGGGGAGAGAGGAATAATAAGTAAAGTCTATTAGATTTGTGCTGAGATTTGGAGGAATCTAAAAGAGAGACCATTTTTACTTTTTCACCTTTATTTGCCTTGGCCAAGACATCTTTTAAGGGAATAATTTTGGAATCTTAATACCTTTATATACTTCCTCAAAAACACTAAAATGTTCAGACCATTGAATGTTTGGAATTTTATTCCTTTATGTTCTAAACAACCTCTCAAATGAATACTTTTGTTCACATCGAAAGTTCCTCAGAATGGTTATTATAATTCTAAATTATCCTTGATTAAATGATGGCATTTAGAAAGGTAAGTATAAGAGTTTGGTCTATGGTATAAATGTATGTAAGAAGCTGGAGTCTACTTCAGAGGGGCATGCTCTTAGGTTTAAACTGAGGCAAATCCAAGAAAGTCTAGGACTGGTCAGATGTGCTGCATATGTACCTTGTGCCTCAGCCCCCCATTGCCTAATTTCTGGCCCACCTTTGGCTGAGAATCTGACTAATTTTCAGTTCCCAGAAGATAGAAAGGATTAGAGAGATTTTGCAGAAAAAAAAAATACAAGATTGAGGAAAGTTCTCATAAAATTGTGCTAAGTGACCCAAGGCAGTTTTTCCAAAGTTCAAAAGATATCGAACTTCTTAATTTTCAGTTAGTTTGATAAAAAGATTTATCCAGCTCACCCCCATTCCCTTCCTGTGAACTTTCCCCTTATACATACACAATAAAAAATGACAGGGACAGAGACACATTGTTATAAGTAATAAGACTGATTTCCACTAAGATAAAGTTTTTTAACTGATTGTATAATCAAAGGGTTGCTAAAAGTGTTCCTTATTCATAGAAGACAAACTCAGCATGTGGAGAGCTGTAATGAAAAGAAATCGGTTCAGATTCAATGCAAGATTTACCTCATCATCCCAGTCAGAGAAATCAACAGCTCCCTGTCCCAGCAAGAGGCTCAGGAGGCCACGTTAAGGTCTTGGATCATGGACAAAGAGTTCTTGATTAGATCTTCACGGGTCTCCAATATTGTTGAATACTGGCTCCTCCCAAATATCACCCAAACAATCCATTGAAAATACAAATCTGAGTTTATGGTTACAGAAGCATGGGGAAACACTACCTTGACAGTTCCTTAGGAGCAGTGGTGAACTAGCTCTCAACAGCCTATGAAGGTTGAATCTGAGCCTCTCCAATTCCATGTTCATTGATCTCACCTTGGTAGCTTAGTCAGCCATAATAGGAGTGTTTAAGCTTTATGCAAATCATCCAATTCTACAAATCAGAGATTTTTTGTTTCGTTTTACCAAAGTGCCAGATTAGTAGTATATTGGGGTGTGGAGGCAAAGTTGGGATATTTAGGAGATGTTGAAGTTTGTTTTAGAGGCTTAAAGCAGAGGCTTGAGTAAGACTGGGTAAGGATCATAATATAAAAGTTTAGGATCAATAAACACAACAAGGAGAGGGTTTTGAAGTAAGGGTTTCTAAGAGTCTTAGAGAACAAACAATCATTTGATACTATCTACTGAAAAGTCAAACGGTTCGATGTTAATTAAAATGAGTTTTTCTGTAAGTTCCTAAAACAATAAAATTACTGCCAACTTTTATCTTTCTGAGCAAGAGTTTACTGGAATAATAAAGTCATGTTGTTGAAGACAGTGGAATAGTAAAGTCATATTAATGTACACAGTAAGCTATGTGGGTGTGGATGGTTTCGGTTCTCACATATAATACTTGAGCCTTCAAATTATATAAGAATTAAGGATGTGTTTCCACAGAATCATCATAGAAATTCTCACACACAAAAAACATAAAGCTTGACAGAAATATTCACTTGAAATCACGGTTCATTTTCAACTTTTACAAAAAGAAAAAATTTTTTCTGACTCCATATCCTATTGGTATGTATATATATTTTCTTTAGCAAATATTTAAAATAACTTTTAATGTCATTTCACTATTATCAAATGATAAGAATTTACGTACATTGCATTTATATACTTTGGGAACAAAATACATTAATCATGGGCCTCTACAAGACAATGATGTGAGTGTATGACTTAGTATTTAACATATCTGAAAAAGAGATTTTATATGTCCATTTAATATAATTTCAGGCATTAAGTACAATTTGTATTCTTTCTTTCTTTTCTTCAGTAGAATCTTTTATAGAGTTAGAAATATGTAAGGGTTCAGAAATGAACTAGTTGAGAGAAGGAAGAAACAAATTTTTTTCACTTCGACTAAACAAAAGAGAATGTTTAACTTTTAGAATTGGAAGCCATCACTAACCTTCCCATTTAAATCCCTTCTTTACCCTATTGAGAATATTTCTAATGAGGAATAAAGGTAGTGTAAAGTTTCTCTTTGTGACATATTCTATTATTATTAAAATATTCTCTATGTTGAGCTAAAATCCATTCCCTTTGTTCTCTCCTTCCTTTATTCTTCCTTCTGAAAACATAGAATAAAAATCTACTTTCTATTCAGATTAACGTATTGAAGACACAACCACAATTATTGGATTTTGCTTTTGTTTTTAGTTGTATTTTTTCCCGAGATAGGCAGCCTGAGTTTAACGAACTATTATTCCTTTATTTCAGAGATACTCAATGTGTGGACTAGGACTGATCCATGATTATTTCTTACTTTCTGGGAACTATACGTTATAGGTCCACAACAAGATAAGGAGCTGTGCCAGAATATAAATCAACATACCGCTTCCTTCATTGAAAAAATCTTGCTATGAAAAAATAAAGCTAGCTGAATTAAACAGTGTGTTTAGTGATATAGTTGCTTTACATTTTCATATAGACTGATACTAAACAGTTGAATCAACTAGTTTGATAGCATGTGCTCCATATAACATAATTCTAGATTTGTTCTAATCATTATTCTCTAGACCAGCCTCTGGAATATGACCAACATTTCCAGAAAGAGTCTACTGAAAATATAATGGAAAACATTATATCCTTGTATCTGGACATTATTTGCCTTAGCATAGCCTAATAGTTTTTTAATGAATTTTTAACCCAGGACAATACCCAGTTAGAATTACAAATTTATCCTCTTTCAAATTCATGCTACTGATAGTCCATTATTCCAGAGTTGCTACCTACTAGCTATTCTACTCAATTTTGTGTCATTTGTGCATATACGCTATGCAGTTATTGCTGTGTAAAAAAAAAAATCCAAAATTCAGTCATTTTATTTTTTTATTTTTTTGTTTTGTTTTGTAACTTAAATTTTTTTAAAAATTTTATTTTATTATTAGTTTCAAGTATACAAGACATTGGTTAGACATTTATATAGTTTATAAAACAATACCCCTAATTTCTCCTCTCCTCTGGCTATCCATCTAGCCATTACCTGAATGCTAACTGAAAATTCACTCATTTTAAACACTACCTTTTTATTTTTCAGTTTTCTTTCGAGACTGTGGTTCACCTGGTCAGTTATGGGGGCCTTGTCTCATTTCTTCTGCTCTTGACTGGACTTGCTCAAGCATCTGCCTTCAGCTGGTGGTTGGCTGAAGACTAATTGGTCTAGGACAGCTTCAGCTGAAATGACTCAGCTGTCCTCCACAGGATTTGTATCCTCCAGTAAGCTAGCTTGAGCTTGTTCTCATGACTGTGACAGAGTTCCAAGAGTAATAGGAAGCACACAAGACCTCTGTAAGGATCAGCCCCACCCTGGCATAGAGTAAAGCTAAGAAAGTCGGAAAATGAACCTGGAGGAGGACAAAGATAAATAATCATCACAACGCCAATGTGTTCTTTCAAGTTTTTCACAAAATTTTTAAAAATATCACTGACAAATACTTTTCATGGAAGACCTCAATAGAACTTATAGATGCACTGATCAACGGTTTTGGAAATGTCATTTAAATAACTATGACTGCAACCAATAGGAACTTTCATCCAACCCATGTTTTTTCAAACATCATGTTAATAAAAGTTCAGTGAAAATTTTGTCAAATTTGGTGCTTCAATTAAGAAAATCATGTATAGTTTTCTGAATATAAACTATCATCACTATATTATTTATACTTTTTTTTTTATTCATTTGGAAAAGTCTGGTAAGCAGTCTCAAAGGTGAAAGGGTAAATCCTAGCAGGAGTTTATCCACAGAAGCCCACATGTGCTACCTTCGTTCTTCTGCTTGATCAGAAATAATCAAGTGCAGTTGGCCTCTTCTTTAGGAACAGTGTATGTTGTATATTTCTTAAAGCCATGGCAACAAAACATTAGATATATAAACCTTTGTTATATTCAAAGACAAAATTGAAGTATTTTCTAGAGTGTTTTACAACTCTGTTTTGCTTTCAGGTATTCCAAAGTTGATTACATCTGATATGATTAAAGAAGGTGCTGCTGTAATTGATGTGGGTATCAACTATGTCCATGATCCAGTAACAGGAAAGACAAAATTAGTTGGAGATGTGGACTTTGAAGGTAATAAACTATTTGATAAGTAAAGATAAAGAAAGATTATTTTTTGCATGTTTTGATAGTAGAAAGAGAAGCTTTCTATTTGAAGGGGATATTATTAAGTTATTAATCATTATACCTCTTTCCTCTGAGGGAAAAGTTTATTCACACTCATTTATTTCCTTCCTTCATCTTTCCTCCATCCTCCCGTATTTCCTTTCTACCTCTTCCCTCCCTCTCCCTTCTCTTCCTTCCATCTTTCCTTTGTTCCTTCTCTACCTTCTTGTGAAGAAAATATAATTGTACCGTTAATATTCAGTTCAAGATTAAATATTTTGTCATGCAGTTTTTCTGTGAAATAATTCAGCTGGCCTTTTATAGCAGGCATTATTTTTTATTTTTTAGTTTTTTAGTTTTTGGAGTTTAGCTCTATATTTCACATTCTATGCTCTATACTCAGCCATTCACTCCTAGAGCCAGAAGGCATCTTCGGGTGTGCTTGCTAACTCTAACTGTATTTCAAATCTAGACAGTTCTGGGTAATTCAGCATTATTCCATTGTGTTTTAAAGAGAATGAAGAAGAGGAGCTAGGCTAACATTTCTATGGACATGAAGGAGATAAGGCAGCCAATCTGTAATAATAGACAGTTCTAACCCAGTGCCTTACCTCTACAGATGAGGAAACTGAGCCCCAAGACATATGTTTTTAGATGCCTGAACCCTAATCTAATATCTTTGTTAGCTACTGACCTGCATTCACATCTAGAAAGCTTAGATGTCTAATAAGAATATAGTAAAGTAAGTGGAGATCTTTTTCATGTTAGAAATATTTTATATATAAGACTGATCATTCTGGCTAAAAAAGAAAAGCAAGGCCATGCCAAGAACTTCATTAGTTATAAGTGTGTCTTTATAGATAAACTGAAAGGAATAGATGATAGAATTTTTTAAATAATTCAGATTTTACATTCCCTCTTGTAATGTGGTCATCAGCTGATGTTTTACCCAAGTTGTAGTGTGGTGTTAAATAAAACTGAACTTGCAGGCAATCAGAAGCATCCTAAGGTATTGGCCCCATGTATGTGAGATTCCAAGTAGGCATAATGAGCCTCATGTTAAAAAGAAAAGAAAAAGAAGGAAAACCTGAAGACAATACATCCTGAGGACAAAATGGTGAATAAGAGCAAAGTATAGATGGACCTTTTCAAAGAGCACACTACTGCCCTCGTAGACTGTCATTCATAGGTTCCCTGCCAGGGATGGGGCATCTAGTCTACTAGGGATGGCTCTCGAGTGAACATGTGTGTCTGTCTATATATGTGTGTGTGTCATGTGTACATTCTGTTCTCTTCAGGAAATGACTGCATTTCTGTATTTCATTTTTGATGTTCAACCACTAATGTCAGACATCAATATTTTATTTGAATTTCTCAACTTGAAAGAGTAAGAATATATTTTATTTCAAGATTTGACCTTATTTCTTATTTTTTGTACTGTCATTCTGCTTCTTGATAACATTTTAGTTGCCATGTGTTTATTATAAAATCCACACACTTATGATGCACCCAAATGGCACAGACAGCATATAATAACCTGCTCAAGACGAAACCAGGGATGTTTTCAGTTCATAATCTTGACTGTATTTGAGAGGGCAAACTTACCCAGCAGTTTACTACATCTCATAAGACCCCTTCCTTTATGCAATACTTCATTGGTTTCAGATCATTTCCATGCATTGTTATGTTTAGCTAAAATGTTTTTGGCTCATGAGAATATTCTGAAAATGAGCATTTAGGTGTGAGTCCATATATTGAGTCACATATAGATATACACTTCAGGTTGCATACTACTCTTCTTGGTAGAATGTATTAAATTGCATTTGTGTATCTAAGCATATAATGAAATAAGAAAGCAAATGACAAAGAGAAAGATATGATATAAGCAGGAAAGAGCATTGGGGTATGAGACTGAAGAAGTGCTTTTAGTCCTAGGATTGCAACCTCTCTGACCATCTGTGTTGTCATCAGTTCAATAATATTAAGAATAACACTGCCTCCTTTTAGCTGTAGTGCTTAGTGTATTTCAGACATTCAGCTGCTATCAAATGATTGTCTAAAATCACAGAAACTTTTGGAAGGTCAGGTTTTTCTGATCTTATAAAATGCACCCATATGATTGATATTTCTCTTGCTACACTGCTGGTTCATGGAGCCAGAGTCCCAAGGAAGACATAGACTTGGTAGAAAAGGCCTTGCCAGCTAAGCCATGACTCAGCCACCCAGAGGAGCAGGCAAGTGATAGGTTTTGACATGTCGTTCTTCAGGTTGTTTGTCAGGACTTAACCTGAGGTGAGGGATGATCTCTTGGCTGAGAGGAAAGAACTTTAACTTGAGTTATGCCACAAAACGTATAGGTAGTGTTTGGCTGCTAATTGCTACAGGGAAAGTGCGGCTGCTTTGTGAGTATCGGTGAAAGTTTCACCATAACTGTAGCCAAGATTAACAAAACGGATGCAGATAAAATCAAATGCTAAATTAAATTATCCTTGCAGAAATCTTTGGCTCACTAATAAAGGAAACAGGATGACCCATTTTAAGTATATTACTTTGATGGGAATGATTTTTCTAAAGAACAGTTTCATCAATGACCCCATTTGGGGAATATTGGAAATATGTAAATAATTGCAAATTCAATGATCTGTAAAACCAGGAGTCATTTTATCTATTTTATTTCTAAGAAAGATGCCTATTTGTAATTTTCTTAATCATTAAATGTTTTGGCCTCAGTTTTGAATTAGGCTCCTCTCTAGGAAGAGCGATATTTTATATCAGGTGCAGCATGAAGGTTGCATCATTGCTTATTATAGTTCTTGACAAAGGGAGATATAAAAACTCCCTAAATATTTCTGTTTGACTTTAATGTTATGTTCTTGTTTCGGTTTAGATATAATCTTTCTTCCTCTACTCAGGCTTTCTGCTCTCATTTTTTTGCTCTACTCCATTCTCTTCTTCTTTCTTTCTTCGTTCTCCTCTTGAGCCCAGAGTAGAATAGAATAGCCCTTCCTGGGCTGATGGCATTACATGGTGGTCAGGACTAGAGGTGGCAGAGAGAGAAACAATTGTTGCCTCTTTCTCCACCACTGCTCCAACAATTCCCTGCCACCTCAGTCGCAAAATTGCCGATATTCTTAGAGAGGTGGCAGACAAATCTAGTAGACAACTACATTAAGAATAAGGAAGGTGTAAGAAGCTTTTTTTACATGGGGACACACTCTTCTCAGGCTGTTTGGAATTATTCTTCATTTAGTAATAATAGTATATAGTGTTTGAGAGGTACTTACAATGTGCTAGGTACTGTTCTAATCCTTTTACATAAATTCATTTAATTCTTACGGTAAGCCTATAAGTTAGGTATTGTTATTATCTCCATGTTACAGAGGCACACAGAGCCTGGGCCTCTTGCTTGAGATGACAGTCATGGGGCAACATGAGTTCATAGATGGTGCTTATAATTTCTACCCTTTATTATCCCCATTATCCTGTACTTCACTTAGTTAATACTTTCCTTCTAGAAACATTGTTACTTCTTTTATTTTCCCCCCAGAATATGTATAATAGCATGTTTTAAGAGTGCCTGAACAATGGTGTTGGTGTACCAAAGTCCTCACTTTGCTAGGCTCTGATATGCAGATTTCAGTTACCACAGTTTAACTAAATAATACCACTCTCCCAACAAAGCCGTTTGAATTTCAGTTTGCATGGTTTGTTAACCGTAATTGCAGAAAGTGCAAACTTCTCTGCTAGTGTCTCAGTTCACAAGTTATTATGTAAATATCAAATGTGCATCATGATCTGTGACCAATCATGTCACTTCTTTCAAAGTCTTTTGTTGATTGGTCATGGAACATTCAGTTCAGACAACAAAGTGTATAATTCTATTGACTCCCTTCTCCCAGTGATAAACGTCATGATATTTTACAAAAATAGATCATAGAAAGAGGGAAGAGGAAATTGCCAGCAAAGGAATGAACAATGATGATGCTGAAAGTGAAATTTGAAATAGCTGACCATGAGGATGTTGACAGTGCCACCATTTGCCATTTGAAAGACTCTAGATACACAGCTAAAGGAACTTAGTGAAGGCAAAATTATCGACATGTACAGAATGTCCCAGGATAGGTCAGGGGTGAGGCTGGGATGCCAGACAGATGAGTTAGCAACAGAGGGCAGGCCAGCCATGGCTGAATTTGGCCAAGTCAGTTGATAGGTGGACCTGGGTCCACAGGGCGGGAGACTGCTTGGGAGATCAAGCTATTACCACTGCCATGAAGCTCTCCTAGAGACAGAAGGTCAGGACGTCCTTTAAGGCAGCCCAAGGCAAGGAGGCCTGGACCATACTTTCAGAAATTTTGAACAGATCTATGAGCAAGTCTCTGCTGCTATTCCTGGGCCCAGGGCTGTACCAGGACCCCAAGACCTCACGTGTCTCCTGGTTCCTGTACTACAGATTTTGTGTAAATGCCTAGCCAGGTGGGGCAAGTTACCTGCTGTTAGAACACAGCCCACAGATATATACCCAGAAGTATGATTGCTGGATCATATGGTAGTTATATTTTCTATTTTTTGTGGAATCTCCATACTGTTTTGCATAATGGCTACACCAACTTGAAATACCTCCAATAATGCACAAGTGTTCCCTTTTCTCCACATTCTCACCAACACTTGTTTTCTCTTGTCTTTTTGATAATATCCATTCTAACAGATGTGAGGTAATATCTCATTGTGGCTTAATTTGCATTTCCCTGGTGATTAATAATGTTGAGCATCTTTTCATGTACCAGTTGGCCATTTGGGTGTCTTCTTTGAGAAAATGACTGTTCAGTTCCTTGGCTCTTATGTTTTAATTGGATTGTCTGGGGTTATTTTTTGTTACTGACTTGTATGAAGTTTATATATATTTTAGATATTAACCCCTTATCCAATATATGGTTTGTAAATATTTTCTCCCATTCTACAGGGTGCCT